TTCATACATACACATGCATACCATTCATACATACACATGCATACCATTCATACATACACATGCATACCATTCATACATACACATGCATACCATTCATACATACACATGCATACCATTCATAAATACACATGCATACCATTGATACATACGTGATATACCATTCATACATACACATACATACCATTCATACATACACATACATACCACACATACCAGTGAGGGTCAGTGGGTCCCTTCCCTCGTAGGTTTGACTTCCACGTGAATGGTCAAGCCAAAGATTGTAAACATATGCATTATTAATAATTTTTCGAGCCTGTCCCGCCATTCTGTGGCTAGTAAGGAGCCGTGGTGTGTTGAGCTGAGTGTCCGGTGAAGCCCAGCTGTCTGCACATGTGATGGTCACAATGTTTGGTGGTGTTGTGTAGTTACTGTGGTCGTCAACCCACTCTTTGACTTCGGACGTGAACCCTTTTTTGGGGGGCTCTGGGACCTTCCGGCCCACTCGTTGCAGTGATCTTACGACTCTAGTTTCTTTGCCTTGTGGCATGTTTCATGTGATAGCCCGTCCTCCAAACAAAGACCCAAAAGTGATTCCAAGCACCCGCCAAACCCCCTGTTTATGAATGAAAAACGGTTTACACACGACTCACAACTGCTGACGTCCGAACACTTCCGGAACAAGTGCTTCACTGACGAATTTTGTTCGAACCACAACGCTGTAAATGCTTCACCCACGTACTACAAATACAAATAATCGCCAACAGAACCTAAACACCTAACCTAACCTATGCCTATATATGTACAATATGCTAATATAATACAATATTAATTTATATTTAAGAAAATTCCCGTTTTGATTGAACATGTAAACAGCATGTAAAAATTGATGAATGCGTCTGTGGGGTCGACCGCTGGATGGAATGGACTTGAGTCGAGGACGGGTTGTAGGTGCAGCCTTCTGGCTATTTTCCTCGTGCTGTACCGTGTGGCGCTTGTGGGAAGTTCGACTATACCTGGGATATATGCAGTATTTGACCATTTCCCAGGATGCAACCCACAACAGTCGACTAATACCCAAGTTCCTAATCACTGCTAGGTGAAGAGAGGCAACGGGTGTAAGGAGTCCATATGTCTCGCCCTGCCTGGGGTGTGTGTAGGTAGTGGTGTTGTGTGGAGGTACTGATGGTGTGTGTGGAGGTGGTGTGGTGTGGTGTGGAGGTAGTGATGGTGTGTGTGTGGGTGTGGTGTGTGGTGTGGTGTGGTGTGTGTGGTGTGGTGTGTGTGTGTGTGGGTGGTGTGGTGTGGTGTGGTGTGTGTGTGTGTGTGTGGAGGTGGTGTGGTGTGGTGTGGTGTGGTGTGGTGTGGAGGTGGTGTGTGTGTGGGTGTGGTGTGGTGTGGTGTGGTGTGGTGTGTGTGTGTGTGGAGGTGGTGTGTGTGGTGTGTGTGTGTGTGGAGGTGGTGTGTGTGTGGGTGTGGTGTGGTGTGGTGTGTGTGTGTGTGGAGGTGGTGTGTGTGTGGTGTGTGTGTGGGTGGTGACATGGTGGCATATATACAGGCTGTGGTTTATATATTGATCGTGGTGCAGCGGCCTGCCCCACACTCCCTGCTCTGTCACTCTCTAACTTGTGTTATTGTCCTCTCTCAGCTCTCAGCTCTCTCCATGCTCTCATCCGTCCTCCCTCACCCTATACCCGTCCTCTCTTATCTCTCTCTCTCTCTCTCTCTCTCTCTCTCTCTCTCTCTCTCTCTCTCTCTCTCTCTCTCTCTCTCTCTCTCTCTCTCGCTCTCGCTCTTTCTCTCTTTCTCTCTCTCTCTCTCTCTCTCTCTCTCTCTCTCTCTCTCTCTCTCTCTCTCTCTCTCTCTCTCTCTCTCTCTCTCTCTCTCTCTCGCTCTCGCTCTTTCTCTCTTTCTCTCTTTCTCTCTTTCTCTCTCTCTCTCTCTCTCTCTCTCTCTCTCTCTCTCTCTCTCTCGCTCTCGCTCTCGCTCTCGCTCTTTCTCTGTCTCTGTCTCTGTCTCTGTCTCTGTCTCTGTCTCTCTCTCTCTCTCTCTCTCTCTCTCTCTCTCTCTCTCTCTCTCTCTCTCTCTCATTCAAAATCCTTATCCTGGCCCCTTCCAAGTGCTTTATAGTCGTAATGGCTTGGTGCTTTTCTTTGATAATTCTCTGCCTCATGGGTAGACATTACCCCTCATGGGTAGACATTACCCCTCATGGGTAGACATTACCCCTCATGGGTAGACATTACCCCTCATGGGTAGACATTACCCCTCATGGGTAGACATTACCCCTCATGGGTAGACATTACCCCTCATGGGTAAACATATAACTCAGTAATGTACTGTTTGAGATGTGTGGTTAGGTATATAGAATTTTACATAGCAGAAGACCATAGCAGGGAAGGGAAGAGTCCTTCCCCTTCCCTCGCTCCCTCTGTTCCACCTCCTCCTTCCTCCCTCCCTTCCCCTTCCTTCCCCTCCCTCTGTCCCTCCTTCCCCTCCCTTCCCCTCCCTCTGTCCCTCCTTCCCCTTCCTTCCCCTCCTTCCCCTTCCTTCCCCTCCCTCTGTCCCTCCTTCCCCTCCCTCTGTCCCTCCTTCCCCTCCCTCTGTCCCTCCTTCCCCTCCCTCTGTCCCTCCTTCCCCTTTCCTGCGCTCGTTTCCTCCGGTAAAATAATGTCATCTAAGGACTTGCTCGCTCGCGTTTAGTGATGAACGTTTCTGTATGGATTATTTCTGGGCATTACATCATGTTTATCTCCATCACAACCTGCTTAGGCGTCCTGTTACACACTGACGGCTGACTCCCAGGCTGACACATTACTCGATGACAACTTGCTGACCCCTGAGATGCGAGTAATTGAGTGTGCGTATGAGTGTAGTAGCGTGGGGGAGGGTGTAAGTGTTATGACTGGTGTAGAGTGGTTGGAGAGGCACTACACAGGGGGCGGGGAAGCAGTTTCCATACGCTTCCCGCCCTTCACTTCCCCCTACTAACACCCCGCGTGTCTCCTCCACCTGCGTTATATCCAGTCCTATTTGCCTGAATATATGTATATATCACATAGCGACTTCAACATTTGATGTTGTGGTATATAGGAAGGCAGAAGTGGTGGAGTAGATGAGTGAAGGAATATATTGATGCAGTGAAGGGCGGTGTTGTGGCGTCATAAGAAGAGCATGAGAGGGCGGCGGCGTGAGTCACCAGGCTCCTCTCTTTACCAGCCGGACATTTTGGGGAACACGAAGGGTAGCCTAGCATGCTCCAGGGAAGATTCCCAAATGTTGGTATTTGTTCAATATATGCAGCAGTGATGTGTTGTGGCTGCGCACCGCTGGTCCTGTTGAGGTGGTGCGCAGCTCTGCGCACCTCCTCATGCCATCTTCACACCCTGTGGACTAAACGAACCGCTATGCCAAATGAAGGCTCTGGATCAATCAAAAACCCGCTTGGCCCTCCCATTTTACTTCTCACATTAAATCATGTATATTTTTAATACAGGAGTGTGCTTCGTTATTAACACAACATTTCCATTGCACTCCAATTGTTAGTTTTGCGTTAGTTTATGTGCAAAGTAACACTGTATTATTGGATGGCGTCATGGTACCCGAAGATCCTGCATGACGTCACATGCCGGCAGAAGATGCTAGAATGTCTGCCACACGCAGCTAATGATAGTACGAACTGTCATAACGTACTTACACTCTCCAACTCTAGACCAACATGTAGAAGTAGTATTAGTAACTAGTTAAAGTATTGTAATGGATTAATATTGGGGGGAAAATGGTGGTGAGGAAAGCCGTGTTGGCAGCCCTGGAAAGAGCAGTGTCTGGGCGGATGGTTGGGCGTGCGGAGCGAGCACATACACTGGACGGCAGCGGTGGGCAGCATGGGTCCTCCACACACCTCCTGCACCTGCCACCACATCCGCACCCGCTGCTCCGTCGCTGCTCACACCCCTCCCTCTGCTGCAGCAGCGCTTCTTGCAGCCATAACTGAGAGCAGGAGCAGCTAGCAAGTGCAGAAGACATATATCCCACGGCGCGTTAGTCCTTCACTAGCTATTCCCTCACCACGCTAAGCATTGTGGGAGCATTCAATGGCGTGTTAAATGTTATTTTTTACTTTTAGATACAGACACTATATACACTGTGATTCTGTGTTCAGGTCGTCGCGCTCAGAACAATGCAAGACGGAGTATTCCCTGGAAACAAAATATTTCCACCCATCTGTGATCTCGTGCCAAGACCTCGCCGGCCAGTCTGTAAGTCAGCTATCGCCCCATCTCGGCCAACTCTCTGTACACCAGCCCACGATAAAAAGGTCTTCACTGATCTTGGAAATGTGAACATTAGCGCTGAGGGTGCGTGTTCGTGTGGTGCATTTGAACAGTGTTATATCCTCGACCTTGGCCATAGTGGGCGGAATCAATAGTGGAGAGCGCACCGGGTGGAGCTGCCTCACGTCTGGCGGGTGTCTTGGCCAATATTATATTTCCTACTGTAGAGCCACCACGGTGCATTGACTGAAGAGAGTGCAGTAGCTAGAGGCTGCTAGTCTCCCTCGTGTATAACGTCCCAGACCTGTAGTGTCACATCAACCATGAACCACAACCGTGTTTTAGTGACAGTTTTGTATTGTGAACTGACCAATGCACATCTTGCTTTTATAAAAATCATCGAAGTCAACAAACCAGACACACGTTAGATGAACATAACTTAGTTTAGCTAGTGAACAAGTGTTGTTATACTGCTAGTCCATGTTTTTCTGTGATAATACTTTAACACTCAATTAGAAAACGGGAAATAAGTTTAACTGAGAATCACAAACAGTTGTGTATTATCAATTTAAATAATATATTATTTCGGAGAAGGATCGCCGGCGACGCTGCCAAATTAAACCCGTAGTAGAGAACATGACCTACATGGCAACAGTGGCGCATCGCTCACACTTGGCGATACTGTCTACTTGAGAATATATGCTATATGTTAAAGGTGATTATTATGTTGTAATTACACTCTGTCGTGTACTTGTGTTGACATGAAGTAAAATTGTATCTGATTGAGTTCATGTTTGTTACTCAGCATTAAAATGAACGTATGTTTAACATACTGTCACTCATGCGTCATAACTGACGTAAAGCTTGCTGCGCTGTATAAGAGTTAGAGCAGTCTCTTCTAGTTATATGATGGGAAGAGGTACAAGGATCTCAGTCTACGATGGGTTGTCAGAAGGTTACACGACAGCTTGTAGTAACCCCGGCATAAGATGAGGTTTGAGGAGGTGAGGCGCACGTATACCTCCCTCCCCCGCTACCCACAGGACCTGCCTGCCTCCACGTCAATACTCAGCATGGCTACGCACCCTTTGACCCTTCACCGCCATCCCCTCGCTGCTCTTCCCTAGTCTCCCCTCCTCCCCTTTCACCACAGTTTGCTGACTTCCGCTACGTTAGTTGCAGTATTGCAACTTCAGCTTTGACTATGGATGCCACCTGATGTGTGGAATTATTAGGCTGTCCTGTCATCACCTGCGATAATAATGAATAGAATATTTCCTTTTTCCAGTATACACAGTGCATACAGGCTGTGTGGTGGTTAAGTGAGGGAAGGATGAGGCTGCCATGTGGCTGTATTATCACGTGAGGCTCATGAGGTCACTCACGTGGCTGTATTATCACGTGAGGCTCATGAGGTCACCACGTGGCTGTGTCATCACGTGAGGCTCATGAGGTCATCACGTGAGGCTCATGAGGTCACTCACGTGGCTGTATCATCACGTGAGGCTCATGAGGTCACCACGTGGCTGTATCATCACGTGAGGCTCATGAGGTCACCACGTGGCTGTATCATCACGTGAGGCTCATGAGGTCACCACGTGGCTGTATCATCACGTGAGGCTCATGAGGTCACCACGTGGCTGTGTCATCACGTGAGGCTCATGAGGTCATCACGTGAGGCTCATGAGGTCACTCACGTGGCTGTATCATCACGTGAGGCTCATGAGGTCACCACGTGGCTGTATCATCACGTGAGGCTCATGAGGTCACCACGTGGCTGTATCATCACGTGAGGCTCATGAGGTCATCACGTGGCTGTGTCATCACGTGAGGCTCATGAGGTCACCACGTGGCTGTATCATCACGTGAGGCTCATGAGGTCACCACGTGGCTGTATCATCACGTGAGGCTCATGAGGTCACCACGTGGCTGTATCATCACGTGAGGCTCACGAGGTTACCACGTGGCTGTATCATCACGTGAGGCTCATGAGGTCACCACGTGGCTGTATCATCACGTGAGGCTCATGAGGTCATCACGTGGCTGTGTCATCACGTGAGGCTCATGAGGTCACCACGTGGCTGTATCATCACGTGAGGCTCATGAGGTCACCACGTGGCTGTATCATCACGTGAGGCTCATGAGGTCACCACGTGGCTGTATCATCACGTGAGGCTCATGAGGTCACCACGTGGCTGTATCATCACGTGAGGCTCATGAGGTCACCACGTGGCTGTATCATCACGTGAGGCTCATGAGGTCATCACGTGGCTGTGTCATCACGTGAGGCTCATGAGGTCACCACGTGGCTGTATCATCACGTGAGGCTCATGAGGTCACCACGTGGCTGTATCATCACGTGAGGCTCATGAGGTCACCACGTGGCTGTATCATCACGTGAGGCTCATGAGGTTACCACGTGGCTGTATCATCACGTGAGGCTCATGAGGTCACCACGTGGCTGTATCATCACGTGAGGCTCATGAGGTCATCACGTGGCTGTGTCATCACGTGAGGCTCATGAGGTCACCACGTGGCTGTATCATCACGTGAGGCTCATGAGGTCACCACGTGGCTGTATCATCACGTGAGGCTCATGAGGTCACCACGTGGCTGTATCATCACGTGAGGCTCATGAGGTCACCACGTGGCTGTATCATCACGTGAGGCTCATGAGGTCACCACGTGGCTGTATTATCACGTGAGGCTCATGAGGTCATCACGTGAGGCTCATGAGGTCACCACGTGGCTGTGTCATCACGTGAGGCTCGGGACGAGGGCTCTGTCTCCTAGCACCCCTAGAACACACAAAACAAGTTTCAGTTTTCTATTACTTTAAGAGACTTTCACAGGAACTATATATAATGTTGAGATACTGTGTGCGTGTGTGCGCGCCCGCGCGCATGTATTGTACACCTACATGTGTTTGCAGGGTTGAGCTAGGCTCCTGGCCTCCGCCTTCCGAACGTTCTTAGATCAATGCAGTGTCTCATTTTTCACATTTACAATTAAACTTTAAATCGACTTTCAACGACTAACGTCTAACCTGTTCCACTGGTTAATAGCTCAAACCCAGACAAAGTGTGTTCTGTCGATTCTTTGACTCGTTTGCACAACCCATCCTCCGAATTGACAGTACGGTTTAATACTAAGTGTAATAAGTACATTTCCTTACTGTCATACATAGTACATAATTGCACTTATGGGGCTGTTTAATTTACCTCCCCATTTATTCTCCTCGTTTTCTGTTAAGACAGAATTTTAGGATGAAGTTTTCAAGTTTTAATTGTTATACACAAGTTTTAAATATCAGGAATTTCTTTTTCAGTTGTATTAAACAATAGAGACTTTATACAAAATTTGAAAAATCCTGAGTTACTTTACAATTTATTTAAATATTTTAGTTTTGTTGTATTAGTTTTATAAAACTGTAATATCAATATAGCTATAGGTTAAGTACTAACTGTAATTAAGAAGCAATAAAATGCTTATCTTCATACTCTTAGGTTAGGTTAGGTCATGGTTTTCTATTCAGCTTTTCAGGTAAACTCAAATAGTCACAATATATTTGACTACGATTTAATACTAAGTGAAAATAAGTACAATTCCTGACTGCTATGAATAGTACATAATTGCACTTACTTGTGCTGTTACATTTACCTCCCCATTTTTGGAGGCCGGGCTGCATTTGCGCCTCTAGTTTCCATCCGTGACCCCTCGTTCTGCTGTTCCTAGCTTTAAACAATGCTACTTTGTCAATTCCCTTTAGGAACTTATATGTTGTTATCATGGCCTTCCTATATCTCCTTTCCTTCAGTGTGTGTGAAGGGCCAGCTCGGTCTTTCCTCATAGATCAATCCCTTCAGCTCAGGAAAGAGTCACGTTGTATATCTTTGGACCTATTCTAGTTTCTCCTTGTCCTTTTTAGGTAGGCGTTCCATGCTGGGGATGACTATTCAAGAGTGGGCCTCACCTCACTGTATATAGGGCCCAGAAAGACCCCTTTCTTCAAGTTTCTAAAGTATTCATGAATGTTGTCCAGTATGCTGTATGCAGCTGTTGTTACTCTGCTAATGTTATCCAGTATGTTGTATGCAGCTGTTGTTACTCTGCTAATGTTATCCAGTATGTTGTATGCAGCTGTTGTTACTCTGCTAATGTTGTCCAGTATGCTGTATGCAGCTGTTGTTACTCTGCTAATGTTGTCCAGTATGCTGTATGCAGCTGTTGTTACTCTGCTAATGTTGTCCAGTATGCTGTATGCAGCTGTTGTTACTCTGCTAATGTTGTCCAGTATGCTGTATGCAGCTGTTGTTACTCTGCTAATGTTATACAGTATGTTGTATGCAGCTGTTGTTACTCTGCTAATGTTGTCCAGTATGCTGTATGCAGCTGTTGTTACTCTGCTAATGTTGTCCAGTATGCTGTATGCAGCTGTTGTTACTCTGCTAATGTTGTCCAGTATGCTGTATGCAGCTGTTGTTACTCTGCTAATGTTGTCCAGTATGCTGTATGCAGCTGTTGTTACTCTGCTAATGTTGTCCAGTATGCTGTATGCAGCTGTTGTTACTCTGCTAATGTTGTCCAGTATGCTGTATGCAGCTGTTGTTACTCTGCTAATGTTGTCCAGTATGTTGTATGCAGCTGTTGTTACTCTGCTAATGTTGTCCAGTATGCTGTATGCAGCTGTTGTTACTCTGCTAATGTTGTCCAGTATGCTGTATGCAGCTGTTGTTACTCTGCTAATGTGGGGGTCTGGTATCAGTTTTAGGGTTATATCCACTCCCAGGTCTTTCTTCCTTTCTGATTAGAGAATCTGTCTTCCCTTCATCCTATACTGCTGTACTGGTCTTCCCTTCATCCTATACTGCTGTACTGGTCTTCCCTTCATCCTATACTGCTGTACTGGTCTTCCCTTCATCCTATACTGCTGTACTGGTCTTCCCTTCATCCTATACTGCTGTACTGGTCTTCCCTTCATCCTATACTGCTGTACTGGTCTTCCCTTCATCCTATACTGCTGTACTGGTCTTCCCTTCATCCTATACTGCTGTACTGGTCTTCCCTTCATCCTATACTGCTGTACTGGTCTTCCCTTCATCCTATACTGCTGTACTGGTCTTCCCTTCATCCTATACTGCTGTACTGGTCTTCCCTTCATCCTATACTGCTGTACTGGTCTTCCCTTCATCCTATACTGCTGTACTGGTCTTCCTTCATCCTATACTGCTGTACTGGTCTTCCCTTCATCCTATACTGCTGTACTGGTCTTCCCTTCATCCTATACTGCTGTACTGGTCTTCCCTTCATCCTATACTGCTGTACTGGTCTTCCCTTCATCCTATACTGCTGTACTGGTCTTCCCTTCATCCTATACTGCTGTACTGGTCTTCCCTTCATCCTATACTGCTGTACTGGTCTTCCCTTCATCCTATACTGCTGTACTGGTCTTCCCTTCATCCTATACTGCTGTACTGGTCTTCCCTTCATCCTATACTGCTGTACTGGTCTTCCCTTCATCCTATACTGCTGTACTGGTCTTCCCTTCATCCTATACTGCTGTACTGGTCTTCCCTTCATCCTATACTGCTGTACTGGTCTTCCCTTCATCCTATACTGCTGTACTGGTCTTCCCTTCATCCTATACTGCTGTACTGGTCTTCCCTTCATCCTATACTGCTGTACTGGTCTTCCCTTCATCCTATACTGCTGTACTGGTCTTCCCTTCATCCTATACTGCTGTACTGGTCTTCCCTTCATCCTATACTGCTGTACTGGTCTTCCCTTCATCCTATACTGCTGTACTGGTCTTCCCTTCATCCTATACTGCTGTACTGGTCTTCCCTTCATCCTATACTGCTGTACTGGTCTTCCCTTCATCCTATACTGCTGTACTGGTCTTCCCTTCATCCTATATTGCTGTACTGGTCTTCCCTTCATCCTATACTGCTGTACTGGTCTTCCCTTCATCCTATACTGCTGTACTGGTCTTCGCTCTACTGTTCCAATCCTCAACTTTCCATTTTGCTGGGATAAATTCTAGCAGCCATTTTTCAGATCACTTACGGAGTGTCCAAATCCATTTGCAATGCATCACAACCTACCCCTGTCCTAACATTTTTCATTAGTTTTGCATCATCTGCAGACATTGATGTACCTGGAGCATACTTGGAGAGGGTTCTATGAGTTCTTCTACTCCCGGGCTCGGCCCGACGCCAGGCTCGACTTGTGATGACTTGGTCCAACAGGTTATTGCTTGGAGAAGCCCGCAGGCCCACATATCCACCACAGCCTGGTTGGGCCGGCACTTCTTGCAGGAACTTATCTAAGTGCCTCTTGTATACATCCCCATTGTTCCAGCAATATTTCTAATGTTTGCTGGGAGGGTGATATGTAGGAGTCAGTTTCCTTTATCAGGTCATTGACATATTAGTAACAGGATGGGCCAGAGAACCGACCCTTGTGGTACTCTACTGGTAACTTCTCTGTACTCTGACGTCTCTGCTCTCACTGTAACCCTTTGCTTCCATCCTGAGAGATACTCTCTGACCCACATTGAGCGGAGACACGAGACGAGGCTAACCATAGCCCGTGCTACTTGCCCCGCTCCTGTATCAGGTAAGTCCACTACGGGCTCACCATAGCCCGTGCTACTTGCAACTTATGTTCCCAGTAGCTGAATCTAAAACAACAACATTGAGCGAGCGTTCGTGCGTGCTCACTTACAAGCAAGCATGCACACATAGTGAGCGTGTGTGTGATTAAGAACATAGCATATTTGAGAAAGTTAATTGAATGAACTGAATACTTAAAGGGGGCATATTTTGTGTATATACACTTAAGTGTTTACCCTCGTCCTGTATTATCTCCTGGAATAAAGTATTTAGTGTCGGTCAATAATGTATTGTGGAGGCCTTTGTTATCGTGCAGTGGTTGGGAGTCCGACACCAGGCGGAGCAGTATTACGTCCCTCTCCACCTGGGGACTTGACGCCCTTGTCCACCTGGGGACTTGACGCCCTGGTCCACCTGGGGACTTGACGCCCTGGTCCACCTGGGGACTTGACGCCCTGGTCCACCTGGGGACTTGACGCCCTGGTCCACCTGGGGACTTGACGCCCTTGTCCACCTGGGGACTTGACGTCCTTGTCCACCTGGGGACTTGACGCCCTTGTCCACCTGGGGACTTGACGCCCTTGTCCACCTGGGGACTTGACGTCCTTGTCCACCTGGGGACTTGACGTCCTTGTCCACCTGGGGACTTGACGTCCTGGTCCACCTGGGGACTTGACGCCCTTGTCCACCTGGGGACTTGACGTCCTTGTCCACCTGGGGACTTGACGTCCTTGTCCACCTGGGGACTTGACGCCCTTGTCCACCTGGGGACTTGGCGTCCTTGTCCACCTGGGGACTTGGCGTCCTTGTCCACCTGGGGACTTGACGCCCTTGTCCGCCTGGGGACTTGACGCCCTTGTCCACCTGGGGACTTGACGTCCTGGTCCACCTGGGGACTTGACGTCCTGGTCCACCTGGGGACTTGACGTCCTTGTCCACCTGGGGACTTGACACCGTCATTACCGCCTTGTTCCAGTAGTGTGAGACATGGTTGGTACATGTTTTCAGGTGTTACAGCACTCTTATGCCATATGTGCATGTTCACACATACCTACATATGCTTCAGCGTTATATACGTAGTATAAGCATTATATACACAGTATAAAAAATATATACACAGTATAACCATTATATACGCAGTATAACCATTATATACGCAGTATAACCAAGGTACAGAAAACTGGAATGACTAGTTTACAGTAAATATATATTGGCTCCTAAAGTAAAATACGTGTTTATAAAACCCCACGAATTATGCTCGTCGTTTCGACGACATTTAACATAAAATTACCGCTCATAGCGTGAAGTATCTACACAATAATTACATTTTACATAGACTATTTCGACAGTGATTAAGTATATAGTGTGGAAATAACAGATACATTTTCAGCACATTGTTATTTTCAGCGAAAAGTAATGAAGGGGCGGCACAACCAGACGCCAAGCAGTGATGATATGCATCTCTGTAAGAGATAGAAGATAATATTCAGGATAAAGGAATGAACAGGAATTACCTGTGGAGGGCACTTATCCCATAGTGGTATCTCCCTACTATATATATATATATATATATATATATATATATATATATATATATATATATATATATATATATATATATATATATATATATATATATAATATATATATATATAATATATATAATGTATGTATGTATGTATAAGCTGGACTTTGATGAATGGGATGTTAGACAGAATAGGAAGAAGGTGCGACATCGTAAGAGGTGAAGGGTTACACTAACCTGTGGCAGGCCAAAGTGGTGTGTTAGTGTGTCACGTGTGTGTCGTGTTCTTGTTAGGGTCTTGTGTGGCTGCCAGCTGAGCCCGCGTTGCTCCACCGCCACCCCGCCACACACTTTGTTTTGGGGTTAATGTGATCCTCAAGTAAAAATATATTTATTATGGAAGTTTGTTTTTATTATTGTTTAGCATTACAATTCCTTGCTTGCCTAACAATACTCTTTTCTTTGAGTTGTTTGTTTCAACTTGTTAAGGGAAGGGGAAGATTGTAGTGACCAGCATCTGAGGAAATGTGTTGTGTGTTTTGTAGGTTGGTTGAGAGCCTCCGAGGTAAGCTAACGTGGCTGAGTGGTGAGGCGGCTTTCTCAGAGCACCTGCAGGCCCAGCTGGACGACGCCACCAGGGCCCTGCACCAGGCTGCCACCGATATCGCCGCCCTCGACCTCTACCACCACGACTACGCCACCGTCCAAGATAAATTACAGGTACTCTTGAACCAGCCCCCTTGCACCAGGTGGTGAGACATTCAGCTTCCTTGTTAGCAGGTACCCAAGTTGCCATAAGTTAGACTAGTGGGTATGCTTCACTTTTTCTTTATGCTAGTTGTAATATTTCAATTTATATGTTTAGAGAGGGAACTAGCTTTAGCT